CGGGCGGATGTCATCCACCCCCGTGGCCCGGCCACCAAGGAGCTCTTTAACCACCTCAGTGACCTCCGCCCCAGAGATAGGCGAGTCCACCCCCAAGTCCCCAGACTCTGCTTCCTCATTGGAAGGCGTGTCGGTGGGATTGAGGAGGTCTTCGAAGTATTCCTTCCACCGACCCACAAAATCCCGAGCTGAGGTCAGCAGCGCACCATCCCCACCATAAACAGTGTTGATGCTGCACCGCTTTCCCGCCCTGAGACACCGGATGTTGGACCAGAATCTCCTCGAAGCCGTCCGGAAGTCGTTCTCCATGGCCTCGCTAAACTCCTCCCATACCCGAGTTTTTGCCTCAACGACCACCGAATCCGCGTTCCGCTTGGCCCGCCGGTACTCATCAGCTGCTTCCGGAGTCCCACAGGCTAAAATGGGCCGATAACCGGCACACATAGGGCCCTGACACCGGCGCTGCAAATTGTCGCCACGCATCACCATGTCACATGGTACAAAAACCTCGCAAGAGCATGACGACTTAAGACAGATCGTGCAGCGCCTCTCAGCCGGCTGCACAAACTGGAACCGCCTCTGTGATGACACAACTTTGCCCGTAATTGCTGAAGAGTTTAGTTACACACATGATGTTTGTATCACAAGAAGTTCTGATGCGTTATCTGCTATTTCTCCTGAAAAGCACGTAAAGCAGTGAGAACTGGTTTTCAGTTAATTTACCCAGTAAAATAAAGTTTAAATAAACTACAAAAATGCTCTAATAATACACGTAAGTTAGTGGTTTATTTGTTGTTAGTTATTGTAATGTTGCGCTGCTTTATTTGTTTAATCGTCTAGTCTGTGAAGAAGGCAATCAAGTAAGAATTGCATTGTACTCTGTACATGACAAAAACTTTGAATTCTTAAAATACATGTATTTGATCTTTTTCCTGGCAGCTATCTTTTTACACAGGGTCACTATAGGGTCACTATAGTTTATTTGTTTTCACTGCTAACAGTTTGGATCAGGAGTTGGTTATTGTAAAAGAAGTAATAAGTATGCAGGTGATATTTATATAGATTTATCTACACCCTATTGGCAGTGCTGCCACTGCAGTCAGGTCTCGCACACTACGAGGAGTAGAAGTTGTCCGACTTGGCTGCAGTCAGTTTATACTCCACCCCTGCAGCTGCCGGCTGATCTCGCTCCACGTCACGTCAGCTGCAGACAGACCTAAGCCCAAGTCGAACTCACCCATTGGTTTCTCGTGTAGTCGAAAGATTGACGGAATGAGCGTTATTGACTTTGTATCGACTATATCTATTTTTCTGTCAAGGAAAATATATTTTGTGATCATTGTCTTTATTGTTTTATCGCCCAACCCTATTTATACTACAGTCATGCATCATTATTTATCATTCATAGGCATTTGTTTACACAGGTTTTCGGAATCATATTCACCATCTGTCAGGGGAAGATCATCGACTCCTTTGGCACCCAAGCGGGGAACATCTTCCTTTGTGTCTTCCTTCTCACTGGGACCATCGTAACCGGTAGATCTCTTCTCCCTGGGATAAAAGTTTTGATATTAACAGCAGTTTCTTCCTTACTGCCATTTCTTTTAATGCTGCCCTCTGGTGGAAGTGGTATCTATTTGTACAAAGTCACAAATTAACCCTCTACCTTGGGCTTTGTCCATGCAGGTTTCATTAAGTCAGACCTTCGGCGGCAGCAGGCGAACACGCAGGCTGAGACTGTTGTAAGTGTGAGGCTCCTGTCCTGATGTGCGGTTTGCTTGGAGGCTGATGTTGCTGAGTGCTCAGTAGTGTGTGAGATGCACATTTAGGTCTTTGTTCGTACACAGAAGTGATTTCTAGGAAATCGGGGCCCTAGGCAAGAAAACTCCATGGGATCACTCAATGCCCCAACTGTCCAGGCTCTCAGCCTCGTGACTGGTCCGCAGAGAGTGGCGGGGGCACTGATGGGCTCTCGGCCTTGCAACTGGCCCGCAGAGAGGGGCGCAAATTATTAAATTTGCTGCAAAGCAAACAGAATTGTAGATTATCTTTATGTTGGCTGCCGATAGGATATAATTTGTCAAAGCATATATGTAATTATGTTATGACAAACACCACTGCTATAAATAAGTAACATTAAAAAAATATGCACTTCACTAACTCATCTGGATCACCAATAATTTCAGACATCTTGGTCTATGCCTCATTTTTAACATTTTTGTATCACATGCTTTAATGATATCGGTGAAATGTGGCAGTAAAAAATACATGAACGTAATATTAAAGCTTGTAAGAATGTGTGTTCAATAGCCTAGATAATGGGTATGTTAATGGAAACTATAATAACAGTGTTGCTTATATAGTTTTATATCCGGATCCTGAACTCTCTCCCTGGCTACTTTGCTCCTTTTACTTCACTTGCTCCTAGTCAGACACATTAATTCAGTGCATCAGACAAAACAATGAACCTCTTCGTTGCAATTTGCACAAATTTTAATTTCAGTGGCTATTATTAAAAGCCCAAATATCACACAGCAACCAATATAATGCTGTACAGACTGAAACCTTTGCCATTGAACAGAAAAGCATTAGCTTAGCTATAACTCAAGACCTTTCTAACAAGTACATTTATACCGTGTTGACGCAATATAAAAATGCATGTCTATATGGGTTTTTTTTAATGTGTAGGTGCATGTCACCTAAACATGGGCATTTTTTGCCATGTCTAGAGGGTAAAATGCCAAGTGGAGAGGAATTCTGTCTCCGTTTGTACCCCGACGGTGTTTGGGATCTGTTTGGTCGGAACAGAAGTTTACATGCTTGTGTTCTGTGGATCTCTTTAGCGGAGCATCGCTACATTCCAGTGGTTGCCGCCGAACCGCGTCGTAACTCATTACCATAAAGTTGACTTGGCGCCAACTTCAACTTGACAATTTTGCCGTCCAAATTGCAACGTGCCACGCCACTCCTCGCTGTCTGGCGACACGCCCCCCCAAACAGAATGAATGACTTTCGGTTGCTTTGCCAGCTGTGGTGTGAACATAGTCAGGTGACCTGTGACCTTTTTTTTTTACTACATATGGAGCCATGCTAGTGCCAGATCTATCTTGAGAGACTAACATGAAATAACTAATGGACTCTTCATTTTTAACAACTGACAAAATTTTCCCAGTTTTTTTTTTATCCTGCTTGAGTGTGTTTCTGGGGTGATTCTAAGCATCTAGCTTAATTAACAGAACAATTCCTCCTAGCAATATTGGAGCACACACTGAACACATTAATATAATGAACATCTCATGACCTCCCAGCAGATTCCTAGCCTAACATTCCCAGGAAAGTGAGAACAAAGCACAAATAGACTAATTTGCCAGTTTATTAAGTACACCTGGATGGTAATGCAAACAGGTTGTTTCTACAAAAAGCGAACTGTATGTCTCCAACTCAATACAGCCCTGGCGATTGCATGATCTGAGTGTTTTTAAACATGGTGTGATTGGTTATGCCAGACATGGCGGTTCCTACATCTCAGAAACAGGCACTCTCTTGGGATTTTCATGCCCTGTGGTGTCTAGAATTTACAGGCAATGGCGAGATAAAAAAACAGGCTTGTTGAAGCCAAGCAGCACACACGAGTATAAAAATAAGCATACAGCAGTGGTGTGCAGAAAGGTTTCTCTGAATACACGGTTTATCCACTCAAAGTTATTCTGGAAGCTTAAGATGGGTGTGCCCAGTACCAGCTAAGTGTACCTCATCTGAAAATGTGGCCACTGATTGTAAACAAGGGGATAAAGAACACAAACGTCTTGTCCCAGGAACTGACTTATTTTCAAATTCTCATTTTATTTCTTGAAGTGCCTTTAAGATGTACTTTCTACACTCACTATTATTATTTTTTTTCTTATTTATTGTTGAGTTGTGTATGCTGGTGTACCTCTGTTATTTCAGAATTGTTCTCTGCAGTATAGAGCTGTGCAGTTTGGGGGTATTTTTGACCCCATCTCTCTCTGTGTGATGCACCTGATGTTGTTCCAGGCCGTGGGCAGTGGGCCCCCAGCCCGGAGCTATGAGGCCACAGCCTCCATCAGCTCTCTGCATAAGGCCAAAGACCCCCTAATCCCAGTCGATTAAACCCTAATACAGGCAGGCCAAGGTAGGACACTGCCGGCTTCTTTCTCAATCTGACGCAGCCTCTTCCAGCAGCACCACGAGGGCATTTCTGTCATAAGGCTTCATTCAGTGCTGATGTGCACAGATCATTCCATTTTAATCCAGCAAATGGCCTTTGTATCACCATTGTTGATTCTGATTAAATGCAGCACGTGAATTATGTACACCTTCCAGGTTTAATGTCCATTAAAACAAATTCTCAGATTTAGTCCCTTTTCTATACTGCAAGTTGCAAAAAAGGCAAGTTATGAACTGTAGCTTTACTATTACAGCTATATGGCTCAGCTGTAGCTCATAGCAACACTCAATATTTTCTCATGTCATCAACTTTTGCATAAGTGCTTAATTTTTCAAGGTCAAAGTAAAGTTACAGCTCCATAATAAAACACTGATTTGTCATTTTTTGGCTGCCTGTGGTGTAGAGCAGACACTGTATCTCAAAGGGAAAACTTAAAAAATAACAAACATTTCTGAGCTTTGGATTCTCATTTCATCAAAAGTGATGGTGCAAAAAGTATTTTGGAAATTAAAATGGAATGACCTACAACCTAAAATATTAAAGATATCATTTCTGTGTTTTATTATTTTTTTTAACTAATTTACAGAACTTTATCTAAAACACTAATTAAATATTTATTAACATTACTGGCCAGCTCTCTCAACTCTAACTCACTGGGTTCGGGATTAATTTTGATTTTCTGGACTGGTTGTATATAAATAGTGCTGCTAGAAGAGAGGGTTTCTCTCTGACGGGAGGCTCACAATGTGGTGACATCATCATTAGACCTTCCAAAGTGCTGCTAAATGACATGCAACAGATGCTTCTCTATCTGGAAATGGTCCTATTATTTCCACTTGAAATGGGCTGCACACACCACAGAGGCTGATTGAACATAGCTGGCAGTACATGGCAGTTAGCTAAAATACTGTATTTGTGGTGAGTGCCTCTTCTTGGATATCAGCTGTGGTGGGACGGATTTTGAAATAGTTGGTGCAGAAAAATGTATAGCGCAATTTTAAACCGATTTTGGCAAACCAATTTTAAGTGCTTGTATATACTTCTTAAAGGTTTGAAATGTAAAATGAATATGACCGAAACACTGATTAGGGGAGTTCTTCAACTATGAGGGCATGCCACTGTCCTGCTTTTCCTTCATGGGAATTGTTGCATCTTCTCTGAAGGTGCATGGAAAATGCACTGAACAAATTTCTCATTGCTGTGGGCTGATTAGTCAGTTTCTTAGGGCTGTCCTTTCATAGTTATTCCTGGAACTGAGCAACTAGTGCTCTCCTCCAAGCCTTTAGTCATTAGATGAAATGTACAGACAATAGAGGAAAGTAGATAACGGCACATAGTGGAAAAGGTGTGCGATCAGAGTTCACTCGTAGCTGAGCTGGCATCATTGTCAAATGTGGAAGGGGATGGGCCCTTTTCTGAACGTAAGTCAAGAAAATGGGGGAAAGTATTAACTTTTATTTTTTTTATTAAATGCATATATTTTGTGAGTAGAAATAATGGTGAATAATGTCTTGTGTTTTCATTAACAGATCCTGACAAATGATTTGGAGATCACCATCCCCATCGCTGACCAAAATGAGACCAAGATGTAGCTCTGAGTACTAGCATGTGTGCATGTGCACACGTACACACACACACACATGCACGTACGCACGTACACACACACACACACACACACACATGCACGTACACACATGCACACACGCACGTACACACACACACACACACACATACACGCACGCACGTACACATGCACACCAAATCTCAGCAAAAATACCTACAGTGTAGACACCCTCAGTGCATTCCAGCAGACACAGGTGCACATCAGCACAGTCATCCCCATCTATGAGAGAACTCTTTTGCCCAGTATCATGTCAAGTTTATCTAACAAATACACACCTCCTGAGAGACAGCTAGGATGGAGAATGTGTTCAAAAGTATGCAGTGATTTAGCTATTAATGTGGACCCAGACAGTCCACATTTCTGCTCCCTCCCAGCTCCCAGCACATGATTGTTTGGTTCAGGTATGTGGCATGTAGGGAGGGCGCAGAACTGTGGGGGTTTGGGGGTACCCAAGTACCTGTGTTTTTTTTTTTTGACATTAAATTTATTTTATTTATTTGTACTTTAAATGTTTACAAAATAATGTTTACAGCATGTTGTGAAACAGAAATATTATGTTTTAAGCAGAAGACTCATTGGATGGTGGAAATAAAGGGGGACTGGTTTTGCTATACACAATCTGTTTTTTTTCTTTTCTTTTTTTTTTCAATAGCTCAAAACAATTATCAGGCATAAGTATGCATATTGTAAACAGCATGCCATAATTATGTACTGAATTGCATACAAAATTTATACATTGAAAATCAGTTTAAACAAAATATATTATATTTTTGCTCCCTCCCAGCTGCCAGCCAATCAGGAACATAGAATACCTGGTACAGATGTGCTGGGAGCTGAGAGGAAGCAAAAACGCGGACTGTCTGGGGTTCCCCGAGGACTGGGTTGGGAAACAGTGATATACATACATATGTACACATAAACATTACAACAAAGCATAAATGCAACATAATCCAAGGGCTATGCTATCTAAAGCTCAAGTAAGCTGTAGTTTTCGATACATTCAATGAGTTTAACACCGTTTTTACTTCATACATTTGAAAGTTTTACCAAATGACAAATATTTTTAAATATAGTCCATATACTGTAGGAGAGGTCTTAAATTGACATACAGTATATGTACAGTGGTACCTCAGTACTCAAACTCATTAGAACTCGAATTTCTTATAAGTCGAACCATCCAGTTCGGAAAACAATTACCTAGAACTCGATCTGAATCTCAGCAGTTGAACCATGAACGCCGACCTAAGATAACTTGTACTTGCGGGGAAATAGGTCACGTGACACGTCTGTCAGCGGAAACAAAGGGTAACCCTTCAGTCTCAGCTGTGCATTCGCTGTGATAGCATCGTTTGTTGGTGAGAACATAAGCCCTTTATCAACAGCAGGGAAAGCTGTAGTTTTGTACTGTTTAAGCACTACTCATTTGTGGCTTATTACATTGGTCGCACACACTGTACCATCCAACTTATCTGTGGACGTGTTGCTACGAAGTTGTCCGGCTAAGCAAAAAATCTTGCTTTTTCATATGGGTCCATGGTATTGCTACTTCTGTGGCAAATGAAACGCATCCAACTCGGTTTTCCCGAGTTTTTAGTGGATGTAATGTAATCTCGGAATCCAAAAACATAAAAGCAAATGGAATGCACAAATAGCTTATTGTAGTTTCGCTGCTGCATCTTGGTAGCGTGTTTTTGGCACTACTTGAACTACTTCATTACTATATATCACCGGCCATCAAAGGGCTCCCCACTCGTCAGCTGCGGCGCAGCTCTGGCCGCAAGCACGACCAGCAGAGGCAGTGGGCGGAGGCTGCTCTGTTGGAGTGGGAAGAGGTGTGCCACAGCTGGGAGGCCCAGTTCCCTGAAGAGCACCGCGAGCTTGACAAGCAGTGGGAGCGGGGCCATCAAGGCAATGGATACGGGAGTCTGTGGAGCAGGAGCAGCAGGAGCTGGAGCAAATGTGCGGTGAGTTGGCTAGCTGAGAGAAGGACTGTGACTGGCAGAAGCGCCTGGCAGTGGCAGCGGCGTTGCATGGCTGTGAGGCGGTGCTGCTCAGCCATGAGGAGACATGTCGTGGCTTGGAGGCCCAGCTGGTTGAGAAACACCAAGAGGTGGAGGTCGCGCTGCGTGGCCTGGAGGAGGCGTGCTGTGCCCTGGAGGCCCAGCTGGCCCCGGAGTGCGGCGAGCTAGCCACCTACCCAGAGCAGCGTAAGCTGCTGTACGAGTCCCTGGAGCGGGAGTTGCTGTGTAGGGCCGCCCGCCCCTGTGAGCAGGAGGCCCCGTGGCAGTACCAGTCTTCCCCACAACACCAGGCCCCCACTAAGCGGAGTAGGAAGAAAGGGCCGGGGCCAGGAGAGCTGCACCGCCAGAAGTCTCCAGCAGCCCCGTGCGCTGGCTGTCCACAGAGAAGGGAGCCTGGCTGTGGGAGTCGCTGGGTATGGGGTGCCCCAGCCAGATGGACTCCCTGGAAGCGGTATTCGGTCCCCTTAAGGCACAGAAGAGGAAGGGGGGATCGCTTCGGAACTGAGGTGGGGACTGGGGGTGGTGGTTGCAGGGACTGTTGACCTCTGAGGAGGGGGCAGTGTAGCACTGGCGTGGGGCATGTCCCAGCATTGAATAGCCCTTGTTTGTAATTGTATAGCTTAATTGTATGTTAAGAGCCTTGCTCAAGGACCCGCAGACATGCAGAGGCTGGGTTTGAACCGGCGACCTTGTGATTACAAGCACACAGGCTTAGCCCACTTAGCCACACGCTGCCCCCACATGCTAGAACATAGTGAAACGAGACCGTGTTCCTCTAGGACCATGGTGCTACATATAACACTACATCGACACAGAACTACATAAGGTGCAAATGTGTAAAAAGTGCTAAAATATTATATAGTAATTATACTGATGCTTGCTGACTACTTTACTTTTAGCATAAAGGCATATTCGCGCATGCTTTGTCATATATCGGGGGCTGCCGTAAATGGTCCATAAATTGGCAGCGACACACAAATGCGCACATATACGCTGTTGATGAACACATCCAGTAGCGACTTGGAGCACTTAATCTCCCGACATATCACGACGGAACCTGAACCTGATCCACTGGTGATTTACGCTTAATATAGGCGATGGTTTTTACCAGAAAGCTTTTTAAAAATTCGGTGTAGACTGCGAAAACACTAGAAATAAAATGCAAACTCCACCTTAGAACTATAATGTTCCCTATTTTATAAATGTTTTTATTGTTTACCAATCAGTTAGCCTGTTAAGAACCCGGCCAGTGTATGTATTGTAGCGCCGATGAAAACTATCGAGCGGCGCAGCGGCATGCGGGACTGATACCAGACGTAAATAATGTAAATCGCCTTGTGTATTTGCCATGTATTGTGCCGTTATTGTGTGTATGTCGCGTGTAGTGTTTCATCTTATCTGTCGTAAATAATTAACGTGTGTGCGTGCGCCCACTGTGTGGTCGTCAGGGCGGGCAACACTGGGAGTTCGAAGTGTAACTGCATGGTATTTAGAAAATTGGAAGTCGCTCTGGATAAGAGCGTCTGCTAAATGCTGTAAATGTAAATGCATTAATAAATAGCGTGAATAAATTAAGCTGCAACTGAAATGAAAAACTGAAGAGAGTTAATTTGCAGTAACATACAATAACGTTTAATAACCTGTGCCTTAGGCAGTTACGATGAATGACATTTTTTATTTTCGACAAAACAACACAATCCTGACACAACTCTCATTCATAGGCTACTAAATATTACGATATTTATAAAACAAGAAGTTGAACCAAAATAGAAATAGGTATATCTACCAATACAGTCTGTCTTTACTGGAAAAGGCAAGACAGCAAACCTAGTTCACATTCTGGTTAACTCGCCAAAAAGTCTACTGGTACACTTGCAATTTAACTTTATTTTAAATTGAATTAAAATTGAATTTCATAGAATATATATCATGGAGTCATAGAATATTTTTAACGACAACCATGACCTATATGTACATAGTAACAGCAGCAGCACAATCCAGACCTTATGGGATTTCTCGGAGTTTTTTTATGATTATTGCGGCCAAAAAACGCTTCAATTGCAGCGGTTTTTCCTCATAATTTGCAATGCAACTTTCGGAGTTCTGTATGCTTTTTTTGCGTAGAATTCTCATAAATTGGAAGAATTGCGGGTTCAATTTTTTAACTGCAACCAACGAAGAAGGAGACATATGTAATTACTTCCTTTTGTATATTTCATTTTATACACCACGAAAAAGAGGAGTTATGAAAAATGACGACTTTCAGGCACTAGATGGCAGTGTGACGCTAATATACCTTTTTATTTTATCCAAAGCGTGTTCAAGGTTGTTATACTTCTTTCTTCCCGTATCTGTATGGTGACTCCTTAATTCATGTCATGGGGGACATTATGAGGTACTGCACATTTTACAAACTATACTTGAAAACTGAAAGGCTCCTGTACTTGGATGAATAGTTATTTTTTTTCTGCTTTTACTGGTTTGTTTCCTTGATTAAAAGACTCATCCAGCTGTTTCACATTAACATTAGTGACATGTGCATCATTATAGGAGACTGACCAATCAGCCAGGGACGGATTATGGGTTGTGTGGGCCCCTGGGCAAAACGTTCGCGAGACCTGGAACTACTTGTTCTTTGGTTTAGCAGAAGTTTTTGAATTTGTTTTGTTACCATCCAGGATAATAATGTACAGTTTCAAACTTTTGTGTGAAGACATTGAATGTCTAATGTCAAATAAACTTCTGTGCAAAAACAAACCAGTTAGCTGAATATTTAAGAAAATGACTAAAAAGTTTGTTATACATTTATGAAAATTGTAGAAGTCTGCAAGAGAGAGAATCTTGTGGATCTTCCCGGCAATAAGGTTTAATTTGCATAACTGGAAAAGTAATGGAAGCTATAATCCAAGTGAAAATGGTAGATTACCTGGATTCAAATAACATTCTGAGGGATATCCAACATGGATTTAGGAGAGGTAGATCTTGTTTAACTAATGTACTTCAGTTCTTTGAGGAAGCTACAAGAGAAATTGATCACAAAAAGGCCAACGATGTGATCCCCTTAGATTTCCAGAAGGCCTTTGATGTCCCCCACAAACGGCTCTTGCTTAAGCTCAAAGCTGCAGGGATTTTCGGATCTGTAGCAGCATGGATCGAAAACTGGTTAACAGACAGGAAGCAGCTGGTAGTTATTAGAGCCACAATGTCGCAGTGGGCCTGCGTTTATAGTGGGGTACCGCAAGATTCAATTTTAGGACCACTATTGTTCCTAATTTACATTAATGATATTGACACCAATACATACAGTAAACTGGTTAAATTTGCATATGGTAAACCCAGACTTGTCCATCAGACTGAAGGCAGAGAAGCATGATTTGTCACTTCGCAGAACATGTTTCCATTGCTTCAGAGCCCAGTGGCAGCATTCCTTACATCACTCCATCCAATTCTTATCATTGTGCTTGATGATGTGAGGCATGCATGTAGTTGCTCAGCCATGGAAGTTCATTCCATGGCATACAGTTTTTCTGTTGGGGTTAATGCCTAAGGATGTTTGGAACTCTGCAGTAATTGAGTGAACAGAGCACTGGACACGCAGCGAATCTCATACCTGTTCATGTCTTGGTGGGCTAAGCCTATGTGCCTGTAATCAGAAGGTCGCTGGTTCAAACTCAGCCTCAGCACGTCTGTGGGTCCTTGAGCAAGGCCCTTAAATATGTCTCTGTTTGTGTTCCTCTAAAAGCATTCACTGCATATCCCCATGTAAGTTTTGCTCAGGTCATTGCACACTGCTGAGCTTTCAGGGAAATTTAGCTGAGCAGACATAGAACAATCCTGTGTCTGCTGTAACCCTGCCACCCACCAGGAAAACCAACATTATTCCACAACATCGGCATCAGACTTTCAGGCCCAGACTCTGGCCCCCATCAACCCTGTGCAACAATAACCACTAACTCCATTAACCCCAAGCAGGAAACGGGCAGACTTTGGCAGGTCTGCAAAGAACACTCTCTTTCAATCATTCTTTTCAACTCTCTCAAAGCCAAGCACACAAGGAACCGTTATTCTATATTTTGTTATACAAAGTCATTCTCAGTGGATTTATTATTAGTACTCAATGATGAACTAAATGAATACCCACCAACATCATGTGACTGTTGGCAAAAGGAGCATTCTTTACTAAAAGTCTTAAATAGACAAATGATCTGAGCTTTATCTAGATGAATATGTTTTGCCACTAAACAGAAATGCCATTGTGTGCTACCGGTACTGAAACTGAAAACTGAACTGGTAGCTGGGTTTGAGCATTTGTATTGTGCTTACATTAAAGAAAATTAAGGTGTTAAGCTATTTCTGTGTAGCCTATTGCGAGGATCACCAAATGACAACCCGACATAAAAGGCAAACAATTATTTGGTTGTTTTCCTCAGCAGAAGTTGTTTTAAAGGCACGATTAGAATTGATTCATGACAGATTCAGACACTTACCCATAGAGGGCAGTAAACAACCTTCCCCTGTCTTACTCTGTTGATCCATGAAAAAAAAAATCTTTTTCAATGTATTTAAAAGGTTTTCTAGTAAATAGTTGGAAAATGTATTTATACAGTCTCCCTGTTGAGTGTTTAGTTAATCATTTGAAAGGGTTTGATGAAATTGGCTTCACTTACAAATAAGGCTAGATTTCCCAACTACGGGATATTGAAGTACTGTGTATGTATTACATAAAAAGGCTATCTGGTTATCTTAATCTCTACACTCACTTGGCATATATGTATTTAAACTCAAAAAACATTTAGGATGTAAAACTCGATGTAACAACTGCAAACAATCTAAATCAGTTATATTAAATATAATAGTGAAATATTGTTTTTACAATACATATTACTGTACATATTTTGCAAGTCTTAACATCCTTTATAAACTGCTAATATATTTCAGACCATCTCAAAATCAAGAAAAATTAAATAAGTTTCTTCAATATTTATTTATATATCATAAAACACAAGTTCCAAATAAAAAACACTTTTTGTGAAGGTAAATCAACAATGATAAATTAGTTTAAGTTGACTAAAATTATACATGAATTGCATTTACTCATTTACATACCCCTGATTTAAAACTTTACAGAAGCACTTTTTGCTTGTATTGAGCATTTTTGTGTAGATATTCAACAACATAACACCCCTACATTTGGCCTTTCCTACTTCCTGACCCATCCAAGCATAGTCAGCTATTAGGGAGACCCCAGGACTGCAGTTTTCGGGCCACTCGCAGCATTAAGTTGGACTGAGGTCACAGTTTTAGGGAGACCCCTAGACCATTTTATTCAGACTGAGGTTACAGTTTTAGGGAGACCCCTGGACTGCACTCTTTGAGCCACTCGCAGCATTTCAGTCGGACCGAGGTTACAGTT